TCAACCTGCAGCCCCCCCCCCCCCATAGGCCCTCTGCCAGCCCTTCACTACAGCTGTCATTAGAACATGGGCCCTGCCTGGCCCCTCAGCAGAGAACACAGCCTCACCTCTTGGTACATGTTATCTTGGGGCCACAGACTGACCACCGGCCCTCTGTCCATCATCTTAGCGATGGAGGACATGTTGATGTACTGGTCCAGCTCGATGACCTTCTCCATCCACTGGATCTTCGTCATACCGTGGTCAGAAAACAGGATGATGTTCAGCTGGTTCACCATGTTCTTCTCCTGGAGGAACATCACAAGCAACAGACTCAGATGAAATGAGACTGCACGACGGGAGCTGTATTTGTGATTCAAATAGGAGGAAATGACTCACTTTGATTTTCCTGTTGAGGGTCTGAATAGCAAGATCCAGCTGTTGCACAGCTGTTCTGACCTGAGGAGAGTCTGGGCCGAAGTGATGGCCCTCCACATCGATTTTCTCATAATATATTGCTGTCATACCCGCCTGGCCTGACCTAAACACACACACACACACACACACACACACACACACACACACACACACACACACACACACACACACACACACACACACACACACACACACACACACACACACACGTTACTAAACACACACACACACACACACACACACACACACACACACACACACACACACACACACACACACACACACACACACAGACACACACACACACACGATTGTAAAATCATATTGTTGCTGTCACATTAGAGCTATTGGATGACAGAACCTCTCCTCAGACAATCATTCACTCTGTCCTGCCGTAATTACTGAGGATTTCACAACACCAGAGCTTTAGTAGACCTTTGGCCTGAATGAATGTGTACTGGATAGAGTGAACGCACCTAACTGTCGTTTGACAGAGCCTACAGTACCGTCAAGTCTCCCTATGTTTTCACAGACATGTGCATCTCTAAACTCATGAACTCTCTTCTGTCGAGTTAGGCCTGTAAACACCAAGGGCTGATACTAAATGCTGCTTGTTAGGGTCACTCAAAATATAAGCATTGTCTAAACTGTAATAATCAAATTAATTATCATACTTATCTTAATGTATGAAGAGAACCCCAAAAATGCTGTTGAGAAAGGCTATGTTGCAAGCTTGTAATTTTAGTTATTGGTTGACAAATGATGAATGACCAAACTGACGCTTCAATCCCATAGACATGCCTTCAGGAGTCATTTGGGATTTTGAAAACGACTAGAACATTATATAAACACGATTATTTGTGGTTCATGTCCTTTCTGCTGTTTATTGTTTTTATTTAAATTTTATTAGGTTTGAAGTTTTTCCACCTTTAACGTTTTTGAATGCCTGAACACACAGCTGCTGTAACTAAAGCCTTTACCAATTTGGGATCAATTAGGTATCTATCTTTCTTTAAACTGCTGAGGGGGGGGTGGTCAAACTGCTGAGCCCCTGATTTGCAGATCAAAACCCTGAGCTACAGATTGTTGTAATGCTGGCGGGTAAAACAGAACATGAAGTTATGGTTTCACTTCAGATTTCTACGTTTCATGATTAAAACGTGTGGTTATAAAATGGCTGCCTTAAGCTCAGGGCCGTCCCTGGCCAACTTGAGGCCCCACGCAAAGTTATATGATGAGGCCCTCTGTTTCGCGAGCGTCGATGGGGGGGGGGGGTTCTAGTGGAGCCTCGCAGCGGCGAAACAGTGCTGCGCCACACTAATTGCGCCTCATTTGTGGCTCCGTTGAGGCTCCCTCCACAAGGTGAGGCCCCACGCAGTCTGCGTGATCTGGCTGTAGGGAGAGACGGCCCTGCTTAAGCTACTTTTTCCAACTTAGAACACTTTTACTGGCATGGCGATCAAGAGTCAAGCTGAGCGCGCTTTCATGTTTCATTCTGAAAGAAGTCATAGAAATAAGCAAGGAGTCACAAAGCATCATTTGGTGGTTACCTGATGACATTGAGAGCATTCTCTATAGAGTCTGTGAGGTTTTTCTCCGATGGATTGTAGACGTATTTCTCACAGAATGATGGACGGACACTCAGGATCTCCACCTCACAGCCTGAGGACAAGTGAGATCACTGTTATATTTACAAACTGCTTTTAGGGATCGTTGCCTTGCAAACAGTAGCACACTAAAGTTAGTTCTCACAACAACTTCAAACTTTCTCCAACTTTCACACATGTTTAGGCCATAGAAGGATAGTTGGATTCTGTGTGTAGTGATAAGTCTGTCAATTAGAACTATTAGAAACATTTTCTCAATGCAGGCACAACTTTTAAAAGTAGTATGGATGAAAAGAATGCAGTAATGTATCTGTTAAGACAGAGAGCATGAGATGCACAACAGAAGAATGCAGCTGAACACTTTGTGTAGATATAAACTAGTAGGTCCTTTGTCTTTTCAGTTTGCAAAATGCCAATGTTCTGTCTCTTCATACAACTTGAGTTCAGTTTCATGTGTGTGCTCACCAGGCCAGTAGTACATGAACACCTTCTTTCCCAGCTTCTGCAGGGTGACCCACAGCGGCTCTGACCCGTCCCACCACAGAGGCATCAGGCTGTCGGGGTTTGTCCCAATCAAAAACTCCTTCTTGGAGGATTCGTCCCACATGTAGTTTCCAGTCATCTGATGAATGTCACAGTGACGCCCTGAAAAAAATCATAGATGGATAAGTTTCAAGAGCCTGATATATAAATGATCATTCCTTTGTGCGGTCCATTGTTTCTAAATCTGGTAAAACCAGATGAGTTATCCACACTGTTACACTGAGGAAAATGTCCCTTCAATACCATGAAAATAATTCATAATAATAATAATAATAAGCTTTATTTGTATAGCACCTTTCATACAAGAAGTGCAGTCCAAAGTGCTTCACAGTAAACAGTTGACATCTCTTAATATGGAGCCTGCATTCTCAAACATAAATCCCCATGCATGCCTTTATCTTTTTTTATAATTTAGATTAAATTATAAATGTTTAATGACAAACATAACAAGAAAGAATGCAATACAGTACAAAGACAATGCTCACAAAAAAAGGATAAGGTGTGGGGAGGTATTACAGTGGTACATTATTTAATGCATTTGTTCCAATTTAACCATAGGAGCACATGCAGGCAAAACACTTTAATTATGATTTAGTTTTCTCCTTAATCCTGTGGGGTTCTCTAGATTCACACAATACTCACCCCAGGTGTCAACATTGATGCCCAGAGTGAACACATGGGTGCAATAGATTATTTTATTACAAAGGGGAGCTGCAGAGATTATTAGAGTTNAGGAATGCCTTTATTGTAACTCATGACCTGTTATCTTCCTTTTTATAACTCTTGTTTTGTCTTGCTGGCTCTGCTATGACTACCAAAACCAAAGAAGCAGGTCAACCGGTCGGACTGCATAATAAAGCTCATGTCACAGTTTATAATAACTCTCACTGCCAGAAGGGTAGAAACGTGTCCACAGTGATATAATGTAAAATAAAACAACCTTAGTTTAGTTAACCTAGAGGCTGAATTTAAGTAACCTGTCAGTGTGCTACTAAGCTATTAAAACTAAAAAGGGCCCTATTATGCTTTTTGGGGTTTTCCCTTTCCTGTAGTAGCGTGTTATCTCAATTTAATTATTTATTTATTTTTAGTCATACAATTTTTTCCTGTCATGCCTCTGCGCCCCCCACTTTGAGAAACACTGCAATAGGGACAGGGACACTAAATAGAAATATGAACCTGAAAATAAGCATAGCAGTGCCCCTTTAAGGTTAGACAGTCCTCCGTTTCACTGGAAACAGTTGGCCTTTCTTACTTTCCAGTTCACAAGAATAACGTTTTAGTTTAGTTTGTGCAAAAATAGAATTGATGCCATTAGGGGGGAAGCTGGACTTAAGGCTAATACTTGTTCAAGATCCATGCAGGCCTTTCTCAAAGCTACAGACTGTACTGCAGGGACTCTTGAGATATTTATTTAGGGAGGAAGAATGTTTTCTACTCCTCTGGCCGGTTAAACCAGTTGTCAGGTGGAAGTTAGGCGTAGCTGGAGTCACATGACAATAAATCCATGAACTGAGAGGGAGCTTCCTCACCCTGAAGTGTCAATCAAATAGTTAGAAAAGCCATCTTCTGAGGACTAAATGTACTTACAACACAAGTGGAAACACCTGTAAGTTCACCAAGTGTGTTTTAGAGGGTTACATGA